ACCGGACTGGGAATGAGGGAACCGTGCTGGGGACAGGGGAATGGGCTGGGAACGGGACTGGGAATGGAGCTGGGAACAGGGGAACCGGGCTGGGAATGGAGCTGGGAGCGGGGTTGGGAACAGGGGACGGGGTTTGGGATGCCTCGGGGCAGCGATAGCGTGTGAGGATTGCGCGAAAAATCCCGCTGGGAAAAGCCGGTGTCCATAAAGGAGACAGAGGAGTCCTGAAGCTTTATTGGGATAAAGGGAGAGAGGTCACTGGGGCACAGCCCGCGGGGTTTTCTCTCTCTCGAGAAGGTGTCAGAGGCCACAGCCTCCTCTCATCCCAAACTCCTCTTATCCCAAACTCTTTATCCCAAACTCCCGGCTGCTTGGTGCCCTCTTTCTTCCCCCACTGGCCGAGGTAGCAGGAAGGTGCAGCCTTCCCAAACCTCCTGCCACATATTCCCCCTAGAACCTGTCATTTTACCCCAAATTCAGAAGTTCAGAGTTGTGCGGCCCCATTTGGCTGTTTCAGGAGTCAAACTGTCCCGGCTCTGGAACAAACCTGCTGCCCAAAGTTGGTACACATTAAATCCCGTTTCAAAGCCGTTCACACCCATCCCCTCACCCATGGAATTGTTTGTAAGGACATCAGCACACATCTTCCCTATCAGGAATGAGGATGGGGATGGAGTTGGGGATGAGAATGGGGACAGGGTGTAGGGATGGGGATGAGAATGGGGACAGGGTGTAGGGATGGGGATGAGGCTGGAGATGGGGATAAGGATGGGGTAAGTGAGGACTGGGATGTGAGGGTGAAGATGGTGTGGGGATGCAGATGGGCATGAGGATGGGGAAGGGGTGTTGGAATGGGATGGGGTGCAGAGATGATGCATGGGATGGGGATGGGGTCTGGGGGCCTTTGGGTGGAAGCACTTGTCCAGCTGAGCAGCGGGAGCTGTGCTGGAACACCAGCAGCAGCCAAGGACACAGTGGGGTTTTTCCAGTGATACAGCTCAGACACCACAGCCAGGCTCACCCAGCTCCTGGCACCTGTGATTGAAATCAATCCGAGCTCTGTAGCTCAGTTCCTGTGCTCGTGCTTCAGGACAAACTCGGTACCACTGTACATCCCAGGGAACAGATGGATTTTTCTTTTTAATTAGGAGCTGCTGCAGAAGATGAACTGGGATACAAAGCAGATTCCCATCTTCTTTCCTTCTGGGGGTGCTGGGCATAGGAACAGGTCAGGAGGCTCTAGCCTGACATGATACCTGTGCCCTGTGGTGTTCATGTTCATAGTGTTGTTCAGCCTGGAGAAGAGGCAGCTCAGGGGAACCTTCACTGAGGCCTTTCAGAGCTTAAAAGGGACTTATTAAAAAGTGTGAGAATAACTTTTTACATGGTCATCTAGTGATAGGACAAGAGGGAATGGTTTGAAATTAAAAGAGGAAAGACTTAGGTTATATATTTGGAAGGAATTCTTCCCTGTGATGGTGGTGAGGCCCTTGTGCAGGTTGCCCAGAGAAGCTGTGGCTACCCCTGGATCCCTGGAAGTGTCCAAGGCCAGGCTGGATGGGGCTTGGAGCAGCCTGGGATAATGGAAGGTGGCAGAGGGTGGAAGTGGATGATCCTTAATGATCTTCCCAAACCCAAACCATCCTCTGATACCATTCTGTGTTTTGCATTGCAGGTGTTGTAGCAGTAACACAACACAAAGGGCTCTCACAGGACGTGCATCAGAAAAACAGCAGAATAAAAAGAGTAAACAATAAATCATTCCTGGACGAGGGAGCTCTGAACTCAAAAATCTTGACATGGAGATGTTATCTGAGTGTCACTCAGTTGTTGTCTCTAAGCAATAGCATCCCTGCTCAGCACCACGTGCAGTGAATAACCACTGATGTTTGTTCTGCTGTTCCTCTGACAGCTTCCACTCCCCAGGAACACATCCCACTGCTGCAGGTCTGCCTTGCTTCACAATCTGACCATCCCTGCTGAGGGTTGCTGCTTTGGACACCTTCCACTATCCCATGTTGCTCCAAGCCCTGTCCAACCTGGTTTTGAACATTTCCAGTTTGATTGCTGAGTCCAAACATTTGTAAGGGAAAAAATATTTCCATCTACACATCAGCAATGATCTACCCAGTGGCACAGGAGAGAAACAAAAAGCTGATTTTTCCCTTGCCACAACCCCAGCTGTAAGAAATGTGAACAATGAAGCACAGAGCACCACACAAGTTCCAAAACAAACAAGTTTACATGCAGACAGGCTTGAGGCCAGCTAAGCTGACACAATCTGTATCACATATGAGAAGCTTTGCCAGGGAATTTGAAGCCAATCTTTGCTCCCATTTTTAAGCAGAAAATCCTTATGTCAAAGAAAAAAACTGTAGAGAAAAGCATGGACTGAGTATTTGGGGCTAAAGGCATAAAAATAAACCTGCACCACTGAATAGTGGAGTTTTGGGGGAATCTTTCTGTGCTAAGGTCTACAAGCAAAGGAAAACCCACGAAACAACCAAACCCAGGGCACATTCTGAGATGGCAGCATGGTTTGAATACATTTGAAGGTTTCTTTCCTCAGGGTGCTATGGGATGGGGTCAGCACACTTTAGAAATAGCACATGCAGGGTCAGGCAGTCCAGCCAAGGGGATCACACAAACTCAGGCATTATTCCCTAAATCCTCAGGGAGCTGGGGAAGTGCCAGCCAACATGAGCAGGGCCTTGCTCTGCAAATATCTTGCAGTCATTTCATTGGATGGGTTTTTAGGCTGTATTAAATGCAAATTCACTTCTTCTTGCCATGGCATGGGGGTTAGAAAGAGGCAGGGCACTCATCTACTCAGCTCCCCATGGCACTCAGGAGAATGTGATTTTTTTGACTGACTTCCTGTTTGAATTATCCTGCCAGCCTCAGAACAAATGACTGCTTTATTGGATTGCTTGCCTTTGGGATTTTCTTAGGATTTAATGATGCTAGCCATGACTGGGAAAGAACAGAGCATGGCAAATACTGTAAATTTCCCTAAAAATTTAAATTAAATGGAAGAGAATGCACTGACATGCAAAACCCTTGACAGCTCTCTGGATGAATGCAAGCTGGCATTTGGTGGTTGTGTTAAAATAGACATAATGGCTTGGTAGAGCTCAAATGTCTTCACCACTCCTTCCTGAGTGAGCAGGAGGACTGGACACAAATCCTGGGTTTAAAAGGCTACAGTGCTGGTTCCAAGGTAAATAACTGTGAATTACTCAGCTGATAGCACACAGCTCTGCCTGAAAGGAAAGGTACACCCTGGTCTGACAGACAAAGCTCTCACAGGCTTTATGCCTTTCATAAATGCTTATTTATGGTATGTGGATGCACCTTGTGTGCATCTGAGTAGTGGAGTTAAACCACTGCTGTATATCTGAAGGTTTAGATGGGATATTGGGAAGAAATTCTTCCCTGTGAGGGTGGGGAGGCTCTGGCACAGGGTGCCCACAGAAGCTGTGGCTGCCCCTGGATCACTGGAAATGTCCAAGGCCAGGCTGGATGGGGCTTGGAGCAACCTGGGATAGTGGAAGGTGTCTCTTACATCAGTGTGAGACCCTGGCTGAGCTCTCCATTCACACAGTAAGGACAGTCTCCAAATCATACTATAATGCTCATTTCATTTCTTCCCAAAACATCCATGATGGAGTAACTGAGGACATAAACTCTTAAATTTCCATTTCCAAAGAATTTGGGAAGTAGATTTGTTAACCTGTAGAACAACTTATTTAATACTGTAGCAGGAGGTAAAATCCTTTTATTTGCTGTACATTATTGCAGAAAAACATGCCATAATTTGTAATCCAAACCTCAGTCTTGTGAGCATTTGATGAGCACATGGGAGGTCTACTTGTCTGACTGCTCTTCCTGAACTGAATGCATCCATGCCTTTAAGAAATGTAATTTTGGCTTGTTTAAATGTGTTCAGAATTAGGGTTTGTTTTAAACTTAATATGGGAAGAATCATTGAATAATTATTCAGCTTTTTCATATTCATGTTAATGCTTTCTTGTTAATGTATAAATACTATCACAAGGGCAAAGGGACAGGGATACTGATTCAGATGGAATGTGTCAGTAGTTTGCAAAAGTATCTAGAAGCACATGTCAAATAAAACTAAGTGATATTTCCCACACAAACTAGAGCTTCCAACTACTTTCATCCCAGAGAATTCTGTGAACCTTATGTGGTTTTTTTACTTGGTAAACCTCAGCAGGTCTCTCTAAAGTCCTGTCTTAATTTCCTTTTTAAGCCAGGAAGGTTTTCTCCATCCACAGCCTCTGGCAAGGAGTTCTAAGGTTCAGCTGCCCACAGCATGAAGAAACATCTCTTCTTCCCCTGTATTAATATTGAAATATGCAAATCCACGCTGACCTTCTTTTCTATGTTTGTTGTTTGGGTTTTTTGGGGTTTTTTTCAATGATGAATTTTCCCTGAGCTCTCCTGTCTTTGCCATGTTATCATGGCAACAATATTATATTTGTCTGGGTTTAGGGCAAATTTGGGAGGAAACCTCTGAATGGAGTCTCTCTAGGAAACAGATTTAAGCAGTTTTCTCCCTAAATTTGCCCTAAACCAGGACACTTACATACAGCTAATTTCCCTTACTCCTGCTGTCACTGTCCCATGAACGCTGAGCAAATCCAGAGCCTCTGGGCTTCCTTCCCACTCCCCTGCTCTCACCCCAAGGACAAAGAAAGCAGCCACATCCTCTCAGCAGCTCTCAGTTGCTTTCCACTTTCTGCCCAGGTTTTACAGCAGGTAAAACTGACACAACTGCCTTCGAGTCTCCTGACACCCTGCTGCTCATCCCTGTCCCGCTCTGCCACGCTGGTTTTGGTGAGGGCAGCTGTGAGACAGATCAGAGAGCGGAGCCAGAAAAAAAGAAGAGATGCACCTACTCCTCCTTGTGAGCTCTGTCAGCCCCGGGGCAGGCGGTGCAACCAGAGGAGCAGTTCAGGAGGAGGTGAGAGTGTTCAAGCTTTGAGGAGGTTTCACGTTACGTTCACCCTGGAGTCAAGCAGCAGCTCGGAATATTTTTATCAGCAGGGAGCCCCGAGTACTTTGACTTTCAAAAGCCTGAACAGCATAAGCAATAAGCCAGGTGTGCTTTCTGTCTGCTAACTGCAGCCCCATCACAGAGGTTTCATTCTGTGTCCATTTGCAGTCCATGTGAAACGGGGACTAGAAAGGCACGATGCCTCTGGAAAGGGAATTAATAATCAGTTTCATATTTTTCCTGGCAAAGAATCCCACCAATATAATACTTAAGTGAACAGAATAGGAATAAGCTTTGATTTTATTATATTACTTCCTATATCCCTCTGCCAGGAAAAACTTGGCAAGGCAGGGCAGGCAGAGCCAGATCTGCACCCCAGCTCAGGCAAGGAGCAGGGGCAAGGCATTGTGCTGAAACAGAGCTCTCAAGTTCATGGGTAAAAACTCCAAGCAGGAATTCTCGGGTTTCCACAGCAGCGTGATCCAACATTAGAGCTGCCCTGCACCAGGGCTGACCCCGAGCACCTGCAGCTAAAGCCCTGGGAGGGGCAAGGAAGAGGCTGCAGAACCTGTCGGTGCACTCAGGGCTGTGACAGTCACCTCCTTTCCCATCCCTGTTTGTCCTCACACCTTACAAAGGTCTCCCTTTGGAGAAGCAGGAGTGAAATGCTTGGTGCACAGATATGGTCCCTAAGAGGCCAGATTCACCTCAAAGCGTCCAGGGGCCACCAGTTTGGGGTGCAGTGCTGTGTAGGTGTTCCCAGCAGCTTCTGCCTGTGCCGGGGTCACAACAATGGGGCAGCCAGCAGGGCAGTGACATGGCAGGGCTTCTGTCCCCTTCGATGAAGTATCAGGGCTTCTGTCCCCTGCTGTCCCCTCTCAAAGGGCCACAAAGATGTTCTGAAGGCTGGAGCACTTCTCCTGGAGAACAGAAGGCACCAGGGAGACCTTAGAGTAATTTCCAGTAGCTAAAGGGGTTCTAAGAGAGCTGAAGAGGGACTTAGGACAAGAGCCTGGAGTGACAGGATAAGGAGGCTTCCCAGTGCCAGAGGGCAGGGTGACATGGGATACTGGGAAGAAATTCTTGGCTCTGAGGGTGGTGAGGCCCTGGAACAGCTTCCCAGAGAAGCTGTGCCTGCCCTGGATCCCTGGAAGTGTCCAAGGCCAGGTTGGACATTGGTGCTTGGAGCAGCCTGGGATAGTGGAAGGTGTCCCTGCCCATGGCAGGGGTGGCACTGGATGATCCCTTCCAGCCCAGGCCACTCTATGATTCTATGAAAAATGTTGCAGTCACTTCATTCACCCGAGAATAAGGGGGAGAATCCTGTGTCCAAGGCAGAAACCCAATCCTGAGAGTGCAGGACAGGGAAGGACAGAGTGGCACACTCAGGTGCTGCAGTGACCTGGAGGGGAATGGAAATGCAGGTGATAATCCATGAGATAACTCCCAGCCTGGGCTTGGTCCCACAACACCTGGGCAAGGAGAGCACAGCAGGTCCAGTGAGAGTGGCCAAGAGTCCAGCAGATGCCAGACAAATCCAAAGTTTTGGGGCAGCTCCAGGAAGCCAGGAACAGGCCAGGCAGGGCACAGAGACACCTCAGCACCTCTCAGGTAAGGGAATGAGCTTCGGTGCAGCTCCTGAAATACAGCCAAGAGACCCCAAACAGGTCCTCCCACACACTCAGCACAGCACAAGGACCCAAGGCCATGGTTGTACCTTATCAGAGCTCCCCCCAGCACAGGCAGCCACAATTCCAGGGAAGAGAGGAGGCTGTAGAGCTCAGTGGGGCATGCAAGGCCTCGGTGAAGTCTCCTCTTTCTATGGACATCCTCTTGTCACGCTGCATTAACATTTAAGACCAGACACAAGCCAGGAGCCTCTGCAGCTGACCGGGACTGTGAGGGAGCTGTTTGCAGCTTTGTGCTCCTTAAAACAGAGCCTCCCTCTCTCTGTTCCCTTTCCCCCTGTAATTCACAGCATCTTCAGGCTTTAAAAATTGTCAGCAGATTGATACTGGAGAGCTTTGGTGTTTCTTAGGAACTAACAGGTCACTTAAAATAAATGTTACAACAGTTCTTCCATTTCCATCGTTGTTGCTCCTCCTCCTCAGGAGATGCTGTGGCAGCTGAAAGCACTGACAGGACATGGTTTAAAAGCTCAAGCATTTTTCTGCTCCACCAATAAGCTAATTGACTGTATCTCTGCCTGTAAATAAGGGTCAGGGTTCATCCTCTGACCTGAGAGCAGGGCTCCTGTTGATGCAGCTGAACAGTGCTCCTATCCTCCCCCCCAGAACAGGCTGGCTCCTTCCTTCTGCTGCTCCATGGCTCTCTCAGACCGAGCCTGAGTCAGTCAGGAGATGCCACCAGCATCCCAAAGACATGCCAGCAACTGCACAGTACAGCCACAGACAAGGGTCCATAC